GGAAGCCACAGTTGATGAACAGCGGTGCCGCGTCAGCCAGTCGTTTGATGCAGATTGCCTCAAACCATTTCCAGGCGTGGCAAACCTGCGTGCAGGACCAGGCAAATGAGACACACCAGGGTGGCGTGATGAGTGTGTGATCTCTTTTGTCGTCGAGACGACGGATCCCACAGGCGTGATCGCCGTCACCTTGGAATGGTTGGTGTGTGGCGGATGCACTTTGGCTACCTGTATCAGCAGCATGACGACTGCGAGTCTCCTATCGAAAGCTAGGCGCCTAGAAAGCGGAGTCTCGGTATGTCTTCTCGAATAGACCTGCAAATGCTCTCCAAACGGGTAGGGCAAACCCACTGACGCTTTGAAATCCATGTGTGGCTTGAAGTTATGGATCTACGTTGTTGAAGCTGGCATCAAATCTCAATCTATGTATCGACAATGGAGAAGGAATCGACAATGAGCGGAAGCGGCCCGACAGGTCTTTGCTTTTACGAGGTCGGCTACGCCGTCTGCTTGCTAACGCTACGTATGTACCAAGCGCCTACATTCTTCTCCCTCCTTACCAAGGCGAAACGTCACCGGATTCATGAATTTCGGGAACACGAACGCAAGCAGAACCGACTGCTTTTCCTTCTTGCTGCCTGAATAACTTGACTGCTGCCCGACCAATTCCGCTGTACTCCACACTTTCCTCTTTTTTTTATGTTTTCTTGTTCACTTTTCGCGTCGATCCAGCCTCTCTCCACTCCCAAGACCGCAAACGACTGCTTTCCACTTTCCCTTTCCGTCTTGTCTCGTTTCCTTTTAGATCTCCACCCCCGAACATGCCCCATAATATTGATAGCGTAGTGTGTCTTCTGTCGATGAGCGCTCTAGTTGCCCGAGGGCAGCGACGTAGCACCGCCACTCTGGGCAGCCATGTCGTTGGCACTGTTGTCCATGTGGGCAGGCATGTCACCGAACATCGGGCTCTGGTTCTTCTCCTTCTTGTGTTGCACTTTGAGACGCTTGCGGCCGACTTGGAAGCCGTTCATACCCTTAATAGCGGCTTCAGCCGACGGAGCGTTGTCGTAGCTCACGAAACCTGTTTAAAAACAATGCATTCAAGCCAATAAGTACACATGGTCTTTCTCGTTTCCAATATAGCACTGACGTACCAAAGCCACGGCTTCTTCCCGTCTCCTTCTCCACCATAATGCGAGCGCTAATCACGTTGCCGAACGTAGCGAAGTAATTGAAGAGATCCTGGTTAGTCATGTCGTTCGGGATGTGAAAGACAAACAGGTTGCATCCAGGAGGTCCTGTACGCAGCAATACACAACACGCAATGTTTCCAATCACGCACACACGTGGAGGGTAGTGTGATGATTTTCAACATTTAGTTCATGCACAAACACACATTATACACGATAAGGATCTCACCTTGGCCGCTCTCCGTGGTCTGGATCGGAGGGCCCGGGCCCACAATCTGCGGCGGGTAACCTGCATGAAACATCAACCAAATCAGCAACTATCCACACAAAATATCAATAATAAACGTACCGTAAGCCTGCGGGAACGGATACATGTAGCCGCTGCCTCCGTACGGCGGCGGGTACTGCATGGGCTGGCCATACGGCTGCGGATATCCTCCGTAGGCCGCGGCACCTAATAAGACATCAATAATGTTATAAGGAAGACTGCCCCATCTAGTCTATACGCTGTGGACGTACCTTGAGAAGCCTGTCCACCAAGTTGTGGCTGAGGCTGTTGGAAGCCTCCCGCGGCGGGCTGCTGCTGTTGAGGCTGCTGCTGGGGTGCACCACTACGCGGCAATTCTGCCTGCGGGGTTGTCAATTCCGCCGGACTGAAGATTCAGACAGAAGGACGTGAGTTTCGGCTGTAGACGGGGAGATATGCTAAAGATCGAGTATTGCAAGGCTATGACGTACCGCTCCCAGGTGGACTCGCCCGTGACCGCATTGTAGTAATACTTGCGGCCGTTGGGCGCATTGTGCTCCGACCACTGCGAGGACGAGGGCACTTGGGCTTCAGCGCCGGCGTTGGGATCCACTTGGTCGGCCATCGGGCGTCGCGTGGTGGTATGCAATACACGCAAAATGAAAAATGCAGCGCGGGGGGCTACGAGGCTGCGGGCTGGCTGTTGGCTCCGTCTGCTAGCGACTGACTCCGCTGTGACTTGCTTACGGCGTCGACGGCGGACGAGAGTGAGAGGCTCGATCCGCTGCTTTCCCCTTCGTGCAGAATATGGGGGAAAGAGGTGGAGGGGAGCGAAGGGGGGAAGATGTCACTCAAGAGAGGGAAGCGACACTCAAACGAGAAAAATCCCCCTTTCGCTTATGAGGCCTTGAGGAGCATCTGAATCTATGATTGGCTGAAATGCAAAATGGAAGATCGCATGTTGAAGTCGTCGGCCAATGACGATCATTTGACGGTGGAAAGTGGAGTAAACTATCATTGACGACGGTAACTTCAGATTGAGCAGCCTGCACATTACGAGAGCAGTCGCACTGACGATAGTTTTTTCTAGTACTTACGAAACCGAGTCTCTTTCATCTTAGCATATTCGGGTGTATTTGGATAAGAACTAAAGGCCAACGTTGTCCCTTTAGAAAACTTAAAGAGATCTGTAAGGAGGTCTAGCAATAGGCTGAAGATAGAGCTCCTTTCGTAACAACCAGCACTTGTCCGTCTCGAAAAATGTACTGGGCGACTTGAACTGTTCGAGGCGTTCGAGAAACGTGTTAGAATTGTGTTAACGCGTCGTTGGTGACGCCACTGTGCTCTATGCTGCATGCAGGTCGAGTTCCTTTGGCTACGCGACAAACGTTGTCGATGTGGGAAAGCAGAAGACAGAACCCCGATATACATTCAATTGGTCACATGGCAAGCACATATTACAGTTCTACGTTCAATAAAAAGATTAATAGACATTAGCTGATGTTTTAAGCGCAACGTTCTTTGTCGGCATGGGTGCCTGTGCCACAGGCTGTGGAGCGAAGATAAAAATGTAGTAAGTATTTCACGCTCTTCCGGCAAGCTTGACCTAGAGACACACTTAAATCATTTTGCAAGAGTTGATCGCACTGAACGCAGGATGTACGTTCAAACGACATGCCTCGTACTGAAAAGCACTTGATACATGTAGATATCTGATACTACTCGCGGGTATCCGCTTTTGGAGTGCAAGAACGCATATAATGCAAACAATCTGCAAGGTGTGTGTAGAACTCCAGCAAGCGCGACTATCAGGTGGAGCAAGAGCGACTAGCAGGTCACACTTTGACGAGCTCTTGGTTCGTTGAATCTTTTCTAAAACTGATACGCTCACCACTCGCGGCGACAGCTGTGACGATAAATTGGAATCGTCTGATTTCCTCGCATACTACACGGCCACCCTCTTGAAACCCTAATTTTATCTTATCTTTGCTGGTTCAACTCGGTCAAACATTGCTTCACAGCGTTGTCCGTGCGAAGGCGAAGCGTTGTCCGTGCGAAGGCGAAGTCTTTGCAGAAGTGGGTGTCTGCTAAAATATTTGCCTACAACTGCATGCATTAGCCAAGTAAGAATGATCACGCATAGATGTAATTCTGATGCACACCTGCACCAAGATCCTCGCGTTACTGAGTCACAGCAACTTTGTCTGTTGGACAGGCGGCTGACAGGCGCGGCCTGTTTCGCTCTTGTCGATGACGACACGAACGTGATTTCTGCGCTATATGTACGAATCTCTGTCTTAAGAGGAGATCCGCAGCAGAGTCCGCTCGAACAATGGCTGCTCAGTCGGCAGCCATTGCCAGGCAGTGCTGGGAGGTTTGGATATCTTAGGCTTTCGACTCAAAACGTTTTGAGCTGCTCAAAATTGGGCAGCGGTCACAGAAGTTTCCAACGTAGCCAGTTCGTCCAGTTGAAACTGACTAAAAGGGTTAATTTTTGCCACGTAAAAACCATATGGCTGTTAATTTATGGAAATTTAGTCTAACTCTCAAAAATTGCAGAAACGTTTTATATGAAGGGATATACAATAAACGAGGTTTTTAGCAATATTTGAAAAAACCACTACTTCATTCTTTGTAGGGGATATTATTTATCGAAGGAGTAAACTCACCGCGTGAGCCCAACTGCAACCGCCTTCCCAGTTTTGACGACGGACGACACTCCCGCTGTTCGAGGGCAACCTTGCATTGCGGTGGTGATTGGATGTCACAGAAAAATGGGGCAACAGGCGCTGAGGACAGGCCAGCATACTGGGAGCAAGTGCGTTGAGGTTCCTGGCCTCAAGCCGGTAGAGGCCGAGCACGCCAGAGAGCGCTGCGCTGCACCATCAGACTCGCGAGCCATTTCCAGTTTTGCGTCGCCTTCCCCGAAGAAGAGGCTTCCAAGCTACACCACCAGCCAGTTGAGAGCCCCCTCTCTCGCTGCTGTTACACTCCCTTAACACCAAGGCACCATGGTGGCAACCCGCAAGGTTCTCATCGTGATCGGTGTCCTCGTGGTCATCGGCGTGGCTGTCGGTATCATTGTAGCCGTCACGGGCGGCGACGACGACAGCGACGCCAACACCAGCAGCGGCGAGACCACGTCCAGCGGCTCTGGATCGAGCACGGGAACATCTTCCAAGAAATCGGGCAATGTGTCCGAATCGGATCTGCTCACCAATACGACGGCCAGTGGCAGTGGCTCGGGCAACAAGGAGCCTGACAGTGACCCCGAGGAGGCCAAGGCCGCTCTCACCATGCTCGCCATCGGTGACTGGGGAGCCACGACCGACAAGCCCGGCTCGTGCTGCAACAAGTACCGCAAGGTGGCCAACGACTCGCTTGAGATGAAGATCGACTACTGGGCCCAGATCAACGTTGCTGAGATCCTGGCACAAGCCGCCGGTGACATCAAACCCTCGCGCATCATTGGCCACGGTGACAACATTTACTGGAACGGTGCCGGTCCGGACGATATCGACTACCGTATGGAGACCACGTTCGAGAGCGTGTACGACCAGCCAGAGCTCGAGGGTATCCCATGGATCAACGTTGTGGGCAACCACGATCTCGGTGGCTCTGAGTACATCTGCGGTGACAAAGACTACAACTTCCGCGAGTGTGAGAGCACCGAGGAGATGCTCAAGTACCTGAACCTTAAGTTCTCGTTGCAGCAGGAGTACAAGAGTGCCAACAGTGACCGCTGGAAACTGTCAGACCACTACTACGTCGAGAGCGTCGAGGAGAACGGCGTGTCGGTGGATATTTTCAACATTGACACGAACTTTGCTGACTCACACGGTGTGATGCAGATCTGCTGCCAATGTTACGGATACGTGAAGAAGAAAAAACTGAGTGAAGCTGAGGCCAAGAAACTTGGCAACACGTGCAACGATCGCACCCCTGGTGACGAGCTGTGTGCTGGTGGTAGTACCGACATGTACAATGCCTGTGCTGACACTATCAAGAAGTGGTGGGACGACTCTCTCGAGCAGGTGAAGAAGGACCTGGAGGCATCCACGGCTACGTGGAAGATCATCAACTCGCACTATTCTCCTCACTTCCACATGAGTGAAGACAAGATGAAGGAGTGGTTTATGATCACGAAGGAATATGGCGCTCACGTCTGGTTCAACGGCCACACGCACGGCTTCAACCACGACATCAGTAACTGGGGCACTCACTTCTACGAGAACGGAGGTGGCGGTGGCATCCAGTCCGAGACGTCGGGTCTGCCGCCTGAGGTTGCTGAGAAGTACGTCGAGCACGCGTGGATTGCTGCTGGTAACCCATACGGTTTCTTCATGCTGCACTTCTCGGAAGACTGGCTGAAGACTGAGTTCGTGACGTTCGATGACTCGTGGACTTTCAGTGTGAAGAAGGATGAGATCGTCAAGGGAGGATACCAGAAGGGCCACTGCTGGCACGTGCCGGTGACTATCGGTGCCGGTAAGGAGTGTAAATCGAGCAACAGCGCAGTGTAAACGGCATTACCTCTCTAAATGAGAGACAACAGCTATCTGTAGGTAGACCTTCTGTAGTAAGCGGCAACTGTCGTTTACTGTTTGATCGGTAATACATCAAATGAATATCACTCGTAACACTCATGCGACTTTCTTGGTTATCTACAAGTGAAAAATCGCTTGTAACGTTAGTGAAATGGCTTAAATACTTGTAAGATGCTCTAGGCATCTTCCCCTGGAGCTCGTAATTTGCCAGCGTCATTACGCGGCTCAGGTGTTTTTGTCGTTAGAAGACCATCTTGAGTCACGCTTGGCTTCAACTGGGTAGTTCCGTTAACAGGCGAAGAGCTGACGCATGATTGCTGTACCGGTACTTGTGTCTGCTGGTGTTGGTCCTTCCCCAGTCCTATGTCATGATGAGGCGCTGGGTTCGTTGGCTCTAATACACTGGAATGTCCATCAGGTACCTGTTTACCATCGAGCGGTGGATGGAGACTTCCTGGCCCGGAGAGTTCATATCCATTCCCCTTTGCTGGTTGGTTTTCTACTTTCCCACTGACTTCGCCTTCGGGTTGGACTTGCGTCTGATTGTTCGGTGGGGAGTGAGTCTGCAGAGTTTGTTCACGGTTCTCTTGCTGTTCTTCCTCTGACTGACTATTCTGAGCTTTCTCCATCTTGAGTGCATCATTTTCTACCTCCAGTTTGTCTATCTGCTTGTGTAGTTCTTCGACCTGCTTCCGCAAGTCCCCTGCTTTCTGTCGCCATGAATCTTTCTCTACTTCGGCCTTCGCCACGTACTCCTCTGCTTGAACACGAAGCGATGTCCGCTCTTCCTCGAATTGACGTTTCAGCTGCATCTCCACATTGCCCACGTATTGTCTCGCCTCCTGCATTATAGTCCCATGTACGCGTCCGAACTCGGCGATTCTCTTCAGCTGTTCATCTGTATAAGAAAAAAAAACCACCGTCAGGACCTTTAAACCTGGAATAAAACACCGGAAGCTGTGCAAACTTACTTGTAAAATGATCTTCTACATGAGCAATCACCCTCTGCTGCCATTTTTCAAGCTCTGCTGCGGAGATGGTTATCATTTCTTCTTGCTCTTGCTCTTCCTCTTCTCTCTCTTCGTCACTGGAATCATCGCATCTACTGACCGCTACATCGTCTCCACTGCTGCGTCGCTTGCGTCGGTGCTTCGGTCGTCGCACGCGGGCTTCTCGTCCAATAGGGAGCGCTGTGTGCAGGTTCTGGCCCGGAGGGAGGCTGTCAGACGACGACTCTGTGTCCATAACGGTCAGCTTTTGCTTGATGGACGCCTGACCGCGCAGCGAGGACTGACTGGAGGTAGACAACGTCGATCTATTGGCTTGTGGATGCCGGCTAATGCTCTTGTTGCGGGTCACTGGCGACTTCTTCCGGCCCATTAATGCTCTTGGTCGGAAGGTAATGGATTTGAGCAGTTTGAAACAGTTACGATATTCCCAACAATGACTGGCTAAAAATCGTTAATGACAGCATGGCATTGGCTAGCGGGTTTATAAGACCCAGTGAGTTGTCAGTTAACGGAGCTGCTGCAAGATACGCGCTGGAGGACAGTGCAGGACGATTGAAGTGAGACTGTTGAAGTGACTGTAGTGTGGCTCAACATGGTTTGCTTACCTGCGAGGACGGCAGCACCGAAGCCGTTGTCGATGTTGACCACGCCGACGCCAGGAGAACAAGCATTAAGCATTGTTAGCAGCGGTGCCAAGCCACCGAACGCTGCACCGTAGCCGACGCTGGTAGGAACCGCAATCACTGGAGCTGACGTGAGGCCACCCTGTTGTGAGCATTGGGCAGTATGTTGGTCAGAACGCAAGGTACTAGAGATCTTGAGCATCTTTAGTACAGTGGAGGACGACGCACCACAACACCGGGTAGAGCGCCATCCATTCCAGCAACGCAAATGGCAACGTCTGATGCTCGCAAAATGTGCTGGTTGCGCAACAAGCGATGGATTCCAGCTACGCCCACGTCGTACAATCTGGTGACACGGTAGTCCGCCAACTCTATCGATTACAAAGAATACGGTTAGTTTGCCAATGGTGAATATCCATACAATGCTATCGAGTTCTCACCAAGTGTAACAGCGGCTTCTTCTGCAACGGGGAGATCCGAAGTGCCGGCACATAGCACACACGCAGTGGGGCAATCCTACAACACATTGCCCAATATATGGCACTAGGTGAAACACAACTTGAGCAACACAGTACCAAGACAGCCCAATACCATTTCTACATCTCCCTTCGTTGCACTCTCCAGTGTTTTCGATGCCAAGATCCGTGGCATCTCGTAGTATGTCAGGTGCTGGCCCTGTTGAACACAATCAAAAACAGCCATGACTCCACTGTCGCTTAAATTCGCGCGGGTAGCGCTTGCGTACCGGCATCAGTGCGCGGATCTGATCAGCAGCTTGTGGGGTAACGCGTGAAGCCATCACGTTGTCCTCTCCTCCGTCAATCATGGCTTTCATGATAGCCGCCACCTGTTGCGATGTTTTGCTCTCAGCGTACACCACTTCGGGGAACCCCGTACGCGCCTCCCGTTTCGTGTCGATCTTAGCAAAATCCCCCACTGCCTCGTACTCTGCTGCTGGACCGCAGAGTTCCGCCGCTTCTTGAGGTGAGACTTTTCCATCTGCCACACGCTGAAGCAGTTCCAAGATCGGCTTTTTGTCCTCCAAATGCGAATTCGATGAAGTAGACAGCGTTGCAACGCGAAATGTAGGAACAACGCGTTCTCCGCTAATAGTAGAGGCAGCAACATGCAGCAACACGTGACGACGCGAGCGCAGAACACCAACGAGCGCCATGATCCAAGGTCCCGCAAGAAAATGACACGCCACGTCAGTCAATCCAAAATTATTGCAAAATTTGCACTACGATCTCTATTGTCAAAATTGCGCTCCAGATTTACCGACAGTGACAAAGTTCCACAATGTCTGCTCCTGCGTGCTCCCGTTGCACGGAATTGGAGCGTGAACTGGCGAAGCTTCGTGCGCAAAATGCCCAGCTTCAATCTCAGCTTACAATGCACCGGAAACCTAAAGAAGTGGCTACAGAAGACTACGAGGACGACAATGAGGAAAATTCATCGAAGACTCAGACGTACTCGCCCTTCTCGAGGGTGGAGCTGCAGCGTTATGGACGGCAGATGCTCGTTAAGGAATTTGGAGTCAAGGCGCAGCTCACGCTACGTGCTGCAAGTGTCCTACTCATTGGCGTTGGTGGACTTGGGTCGCCTGTGGCGATGTACTTGGCAGCAATGGGCGTGGGTACGTTGGCTATTGTGGATAGTGATTACGTCGATCGAAGCAACTTGCATCGGCAGATTTTGCACGATGAAAAGGGGGCCAGAAATCGAGAAAAGAAAGTGGAATCGGCTAAGAGAAGGCTGCTGGAGCTTAACCCGTTGCTGAAGTGTGTGGTATATCCAACAAGGTTTACCGCTGTGAACGCGTTGAAACTTGTTGGAGACTACGACGTGGTTGTTGACGCCTCAGATAATGTTGGCACTCGCTATCTCGTTAATGACGCGTGTGCCCAACTTCATAAACCGTTGGTATCGGGTAGTGCTTTAGGACTGGAGGGCCAGGTGACGGTGTTCACGTATGAGGATGACTCGAACGCCACTGGATGTTATCGATGTTTGTATCCAACGCCGCCTCGGGTTGCAATGAGTTGCGCGGAGAACGGTGTGATTGGTGTTGTGCCTGGCGTGATTGGATGTCTGCAAGCTATGGAGACGGTCAAGATTATCACCGGAATCGGAGAACCTTTTGTTGGTGTACAGTGCTTTTACGATGCGTACGACGGGCAGTTCCGGCGCCTGAAAATCGGCAAAAAGCGGAATCCAGACTGTCCGTCATGCGGAGTGCATGATACATATGAAAAGCACAAAATGATGCCATTACATGCATCATTATTAGTAGAAGGCAATTGCACGGATGAAACTACGATCGTTGATGATCTCAGCCCACAGTTCCGTGTTAGCACTGAAGAATTTGCGAACATACGCAAGGCTGCTTTAATGGCAAAGGAGAGAGAAGAGCAAAACACTATGAAAAACAGCTATGCTCTGCTGGACACACGTGCGCCCACCCAGTTCGAGATGGTGCACTTCCCCGAGGCAGTGAACATTCCTACCGCTCAGCTCATGAAACAGGATCCAACTCAAGTTATCAAGAACCTTCATAGCTTTCAAACGAATAGTTCGGCGCAGCTTCCTAAACGAACTTTTGTGATCTGTCGACGCGGTATTGACTCGGTCAAGGTGACGCGATGGTTGGTGGATCATGGAGTTCAGACCGTGTTCAACGTCAACGGAGGATACACTGAATACGCAAAGGAAGGCGGAGTTGACCCAGCATTCCCCATGTATTAGCACACATGTAGCAAATCAAAGCGCAAAGCAAACCCTGAATTTTTGAAGAATCTATGATTGCTGCATCTAAACTCTTGCTACGTGAGATTCTGGACACCCCAGAGCGGTGAACACTCTAGGATAGCAGACCTTCGTGCATGGAGGACTGCAAAACTGCGGCGTGCGATGCAGTCACGGTGGTCGGCGATGATTGATCCGACACGCTTTCAGCAGACTCTTCTTTACCTTCACCCTCATTCTCTTCTCCATCATCCTCATTCTCCTCTTCTTCGTCAGGTTCCTCTTCACTCTCTTCCTTAACCTCAAACGTCTCGTCTTCTTCACTGTCTTCGTCCTTGCCCGCGAACATTAGCTCGTTAAGCTGGCGATAGTCCACCTCGTTGCGTTTGCGTTTGCCGCGGACAATGAGTGCCTCCGAGTCACCTCCGTCCTCGTCGTCACTGTCCGCGACAGCAGCACGATTGATGGCAGCCTGAGTCTTACTGCGCGTCAGAAGTTCCGAGCTGCCGTCACGGTAGTCAATGCGCCAGCGTGAATATCTCCCTTGAGACGGTGGTTCCAGCTTTGCAACGACCCCAAGAATCACTTCGCCAGTCTTAGGGTCAATCTTGGCAGCAGGCTCACCGATGAGGCTTACCTTGTTATCAACGGGCTTTGGTGGTAAAATCGCACTCTTAGAACGCGACGATCGACTGTTCAAGTGCAATAACAGAGTCAATATCGAGTCAGACACACGCCAGCGATAGCATAGCACTAAAACGTACTGATTCACATCGATAACGTCGTCTTTGCTGAGATACAGCAGGTCTTGAGCGCTCTCGGGAACCTCTTCGGCCATTTCTTCTTCACCGCCTGCTTCTGTTTTCTTCTCGTTCTCGTCATCTTCTTCTTCATCTTCGTCGCTCTCTTCATCATGTAAAACGAAGTCCTCATCATTCTCTTCTTCATCATCTTCATCAGGAGGAGCCGTAGCAGTAGCACTCTCCTCTTCTGACTGAGCAGAGCTACTAGCATCCGCTGTGGCTTGCTTAGCCTGAGTGAGCTCTGGGAACAAGTCTTCGACGTTCTCGTACGTCGTCCCAAACACCGAGTTAATCGATTTGAGGCACTCAAAGACTGCTAGACACACTTCACAGAACCAAGGCTCGTCGCCTGCTGGGATCTTGGCTGTCAGAACAATTGGCGTCTGACATTTTTGATGGTAGGCGCGATGGCAGCCGACACTGTCGCAGAGCAGAATGTCGTTGTCTTGCTCGATGTCGGTGCTCCCACAGCGAGAACAGTGAACATCCTCGAACACAGCCATCGGTGGCACTTGCGGCTCGTTGGCGTATAAAGCCTTTAACTCATGCAGACCGTCGATAAGCGCACGTTGTCCTCTCTCGATCTTGCGGCGCTCTGCGTCGAGCTCCTTGCTGGGCTTAAGTTTGTCCAGACTCGACTTGTTCCAGCCTTCAGCTTCGTAGGCATCAATGAATGCTAGTGGATAGCGCAGTCGGTGCGCCTGAATATGGATACACATCAGTAAGCGTCGTTGACTACAAACGTCTGTGTAAAATGTATCTATCTCATGTCCCTGTAACTTACCTGCGACTTGATCTTGTTCTCTAGTCGCTTGTGTTCCGGACGAGCAGGAGTAGGAGCTGAAGCAGAGTTGTCGTCTGTCTCCAAACTTTGTTCCTTGGGCTTCCGAGGTTTCCGCGTTGGCGTATCGACAGTTGGTGAGAATGCCGCTGGAGCACGACGATCACGCTGCTCCCGTGGCTTCACCTTACTGCAGTGCATCGGGTAGCGACAGCAACAGTTAGGAGTCATTATTACTGCTACCAAAATGAGGTGATAGTTGTCTCTCGGTTTTAGAGAGAAAGAAATTAAAGTATCTAGGATACTTCGTACATTGATGGGCGTCGAGCTGAAGCCGGTGGCGCATATTCGTCGTCGCTCTCCGATGACGAGCGAGCTTTCTTGCGAGGTCGAGGCATGGTTCTCAAGTTTAATCAGTAAATGGTATGTACTTGGGGTTTGTGGTGTAGACTGGCTGGCTATCTGTCTTGTCTAACAATATAACAAATTTAGTAAATCTTGATGGACTAAGAAGAGTGATCACTGTTTTTCTTGTAGTGTCGACAATCTTACCTACAGGTACCAGGTAGGATCAAGTACCGTAGTTTCTGGGTTGGTTCGTAGGGGGGGAGGACGTCACTACTGACGTCGCTCGAACCAGTTGATGTCGTCGACCACCCGTGTAGTCGATCGATCCAGGAAAGTCAAAAAGTTGGTAGAATCAATACTCTAAGGCCACTGATGTGTACCAAACGTAGTAGTGATCAAGTCTTGCCGGTGTGTTGGCTCGTTGTCCGGTTGCGTGTTGAGGTGGAGACTGACTCAGTGGTTCTACACAATGGAAGCCCCTGCTTGTTCGTCTCTAAAACTAAAAGTTTGCTGATTCAGTGTGCCAAATTGTGTCTCTTCTTTATTGGTAAAAATTGTGTTTAAAACGATTTTACAATTGGTTGAAATTTCGTAATCGATTGTGCCTTCAAAGGTTGCAGACTGTACCATTGCTGACTCTTGAGCTCCTCGCTTCGATGGAGTCGCTGACTGACGAGCAGCGCGCGCTGTTCTCCGATGGGGGTCAGTTAGATGACTATGAGGTACTAAAACCCATTGGAAAAGGAAAATTCTCAGTAGTGTATAAGGCCAAGCGACGACATGATAATCAGGCAGTGGCACTCAAGAAGATCGCCATTTTCGACATGATGAACCTCAAAGCTCGCGAAAAAACACTGAAAGAGGTGCGTATTGCAATACTGCAAAGTGTATTTATTACGAGTAAATGTTGATAACTTGTCGATGTTGTTCTGCTGTGGTTACGGTTTTGTAGGTGCGTCTGGTGCAGTCGGTTGGTCACCCAAACATCATTCAATATCTGGATGCATTCGTCCAGAATAACGAGCTTTACATTGCATTTGAGTGGGCAGAAGCGGGTGATCTCAAGCGTCAAATTCGAAAGGCCAATGAGAAAGGGGTGCGCTTTGATGAACGCACGATATGGAGATACTTCACGCAGCTCTGCGGTGCGATTCTGTATCTACACCAGAACCGAATTATGCACCGTGATCTCAAACCGGCGAATATTTTCTTAACTCTCAAAGGGGTAGTCAAAGTAGGTGATCTTGGATTGGGTCGATATTTAAGCGAAAATACGATAGAGGCTCGGTCGAAAGTGGGGACGCCGCTGTATATGTCGCCGGAGGTGCTGCGTGGCGAAAGTTACGACTGGAAAAGCGACGTGTGGTCTATGGGGTGTATTTTGTACGAACTTGCGATGCTTCGATCGCCTTTTAAGTCGGAAGGGTTGAATCTTGTGGGGCTGTTCCAGAAGATTAACAAAGGTTACTATGAAGAGATCCCGGAGGTCTATAGTGATCATCTACGCGGAATTGTAAAACGCATGATCTCCCTCACGCCATCCGACCGACCGAGCGTGCAGGAAGTATGGGAATTTTGTAGAACGAGACCGCCCAGTGCTGTATTGCAGGAACGAATGCAAAAACATCAGGCTGCCTCTCAAAGCAACAATAGCGCTAGACCAGACTCAGAGACGCGTTCTACTCGAACACGAAGTAGCAGAAGTAAATCCACGCCTGAAAGTGATAATCCTTCGCATCCCTCCTCCTCTGACCAACAGCAAGAAACTCCACCACAGTCACGACCTTCGTCACAGGGAGATGCCAGTAATACAGTATCAGAGGAATCAAGTAGAAGGAGGCGTGCTGAGGCAAAGATGGAGCTTCTTTTCGAAAGATTGAGAATCTTAAGGTACGAAAAAGTCCTCAACAAGCGAATAT